TGGCCAGGACTTGCTCAGTAACTGACAGCTTCCCCAAATTTGCCCCCACCCCGGGGCAGCCGGACCTGCTTCCCTCACCCATCACACGATGCCCCTTCTCTCCGTCTCAGTCTCGGGCTCCAAACCTTCCCTTCACCCACTGGGATGCTTCCCACTCCTCCGCCCGCCTGTGCATCTCCGCGGCGGCCAGTGACTCCCTGGCCCTAGCAAGCTCTGAATAAATAGCTCCACCTCCTGGCCTCTCTCCCAGGTGTGCATCCGTTGGCGATGATGGAAGTAGGGTGGGTGGGTGGGTGGGGGGTGGAATAATTAAGAGCTGGCTCTGCGGCTCCATGAGCCGTGCAGACCCGGGGACTCTGCGCCTTTTCCTCGTGTCTAGGGCACAGGCCAGCCCAGATGCCAGGGCTGGTGCGAATTCAGTGAGGGAACGCTCTTCACACACTGAGTATACGACGGGGCTTACGTAAGGGAAGGCTGGGCGCGATTTTGGTGCAGGAGCTAAGACACAGCCCCAGCACAGCACGTCCGGCAGGGTGCCTGGTTCAAAGGCCGACTCGACTTCGGGCTCTGCCTTCCTGCTGGTGTGCACCCTGGGAGGCAGCAGGTGGTGCCTGGAGTACTTGGACCTCTGCCACCCCTGCGGGAGACCCACACTGAGTTCCCAGCTCCTGGCTTCAGCTTGGCTCGGCCCTGGCTGTCAGGGGCATTCGGAAGAGCGAACCGGCAGATGGAAGATCTCTCTCTTTGTCCTGTCTCTCTGCCTTTCAAATACATAACGTTGTTTTAAAAAAGATTTTTTTTTTTTACTTATTTATTTGAGAGGTAGAGTTACAGAGAGAGAGAGAGAGAGAGAGAGAGAGAGAGAGAGAGAGAGGTCTTCCATCTACTGGTTCATTCCCCAAATGTCTGCAATGGCCGGAGCTGGGCTGATCTGAAGCCAGCAGCTAGGAGCTTCTTCTGGGTCTCCTATGTGGGTGCAGGGGCCATGGCAGAGAGCTGGATTGGAAGAGGAGCAGCCGAGACACAAACCAGCACCCATATGGGATGCCAGTGCCGCAGGCAGAGGCTTAGCCCACTACACCACAGCACCTGCCCCTAAAGATTTTTGTTTTTAACACGAGGGAAAAGCTAGACATCACATCAGCCTCACGACAACCTGTTGGAGCAGACAGGCCTCTCCCTGTGCTCACCACGCCCACCCCCATCCTTTGCAGTAGGCACCTGCACTTCGGCCAGATGGAATCAAGGCCATGGGCTCCAAGTCCAGGCTATATCAGAGGTTCAGGGGTTGGTCTCAGAGAAGGAGGGGGAAGGGACATAGTCAAGCATTTCTCTAAAGAAATCCAGCCGACTAAGCGAGGACAATGGCCAGGCCTGACAGCCGCTGCTCCCTGTTTCCCCCGGCTCCGAGGGGCGGTCACGGCAGGCACGCTCCTGCCCAGAGGGCTCTGAGCAACTTTGGCCAAGGAGGGGCCGAGGAGGAGCCAGCAGCTTCCTTCCATCCAGGCCTGTGCCGCAGTCTCTTCATCCTTAAGGTGAGAATTTGGTGGGTGTTTGGACAGGTGGTTAAGATGCTGGTTAAGACACCCACGTCCCATGTTGGAGTGCTTGGGTTTGCAGCCTGACTCTGGCTCCTGGCTCCAGCTTCCTGCTACCGCAGACGCTGGGAGGCAGTGGTGATGGTCCAAGCGGATGGGTCCCTGCACTCCTGTAGGAGACCTGGAGTGAGTGTCTGGCTCCTGGCTTTGGCCTGGCCCAGTCTCAGCTGTCGAGGGCATTTAAGAAGTGGACCAGCAGACAGAAGAGCTCTCTCTCTCTCTCTCTCTCGCTCTCTCTCTCCTTCCCTATCAAATAAGTAAATAAAAAATTTTAAAAGAATTTTAGGGGCCGGCATTGGCGTAGCAGGTTAAAGCCCTGGCCTGAAGCGTCAGCATCCATACAGGTACCGGTTCTAGTCCTGGCTGCTCCACTTCCTATCCAGCTCTCTGCTGTGGCCTGGGTTAGCAGTGGAAGATGGCTCAAGTCTTTGGGCCCCTGCACCCACGTGGGAGACCCGGAGGAAGCTCCTGGCTCCTGGTTTCGGATCAGCTCAGCTCCAGCCATTGTGTCCAACTGGGGAGTGAACCAGCAGATGGAAGACCTCTCTCTGTGTCTCTACCTCTCTCTGTAACTCTTTTATTTTATTTTATTTTTATTTATTATTATTTTTTTTGACAGGCAGAGTGGACAGTGAGAGAGAGAGACAGAGAGAAAGGTCTTTCTTTGCCGTTGGTTCACCTTCCAATGGCTGCCGCGGCCGGCGTGCTGTGGCCGGCGCACTGCGCTGATCCGATGGCAGGAGCCAGGTACTTATCCTGGTCTCCCATGGGGTGCAGGGCCCAAGAACCTGGGCCATCCTCCACTGCACTCCCGGGCCATAGCAGAGAGCTGGCCTGGAAGAGGGGCAACCGGGACAGAATCTGGCGCCCCGACCGGGACTAGAACCCAGTGTGCCGGCGTCACAAGGCAGAGGATTAGCCTAGTGAGCCGCGGCGCCGGCCTCTCTCTCTTTCAAATAAATAAACTAAATCTTTAAAAAAATTTAAAAAAAGAATTTTAATAGCTTACCAAGACACACAAGCACGGGCTAGTGTTCCAGTACTGGTGGGTTTGGGACTAGAACACCCAATGCTGGGTCCTTTATAAAACATAAGAACTGACTCCTCACAGTTCCAGGGCTAGTGCCTGGCAGGGCCGTCTGGCTGCCTTAACAGGTAGAAGCCATCACACGGCAGAAAGGAACGCGAGAGGGAGAGAGAGGGAGAAGAACTTTTATTAAGAACCTACTCCCCGGGGCCAGCGCTGTGGCATAGCAGGTCAAGCTGCCGCCTGCAGCGCCAGCATCCCATACGGGCACTGGTTCAAGTCCCGGCTGCTCCATTTCCCACCCAGCTCTCTGCCATGGCCTGGGAAAGCAGTAGAAGATGGCTCAAGTCCTTGGGCCCCTGCACCCGTGTGGGAGACCTGGAAGAAGCTCCTGGCTCCTGGCTTTGGATCGGCACAGCTCTGGCCGTTTGTGGCCATCTGGGAAGTGAACCAGCAGATGGAAGATCTTTCTCTCTGCCTCTCTGTAACTCTGCCTTTTTTTTTTTTTTAAAGAACCCTCTCCCCAAGTAACTACTCATTCGCAGGGCAGTGTTCCCTCTACCCAAATACCTGCAGGAAGTCCCACCTCCTGACACTTCTGCATTGCAGACCAAAGTTTCCACACATGAACTTGGCGGGGTGGCGGGGGCAGGGGCTTTGAGATGCTTGTGGGAGGGGGCGTCCCGAGTCCCTGTGCCCCCTTGCCCTCCCCTTCAGGGCCGGCAACAGTGTCCGAGCCCCCAGCCAGCGTCTCTGCCCTGAACCGCTGCAGCTCGCTGCCTACTTTACTTTCCCAACACAATCAGAAATGCAAGTCAGCGCAAGGGTCAGACACCAGCGCTTCCTCCCTCCTTTAAATGCAGGCAAAGGCTTTTAAAATAATGACAGGAAGTAGGAAGAAGGTCGCCCCACGCCCCTCAGAGGACGAGTGGACTGGCACATTCCTGGAGGCCAATTTGGTAGGATGTACTTTTTGATTTGCAGGTCCATTTTTCTTAAAAAAAAAAAAATCATGTTTATTTATTTGAGAGGCAGAGAGAGAGAGAAAGAGTGAGAGAGAGCGAGAGCGAGAGAGAGAAAGAGCGAGAGAGAGCGAGAGCGAGAGAACCCAAGTAAGGAAGGAGCCTGATACTTAGTCCAGATGGCATGAATCCAACTTCTCAAGTTTGTACCACGGCCTCCCAGGGTCTGCAGGAGCAGGAAGCTGGAGTCTGCAGCCCGAGCCTGGTGTGACCACCAGCCCAAATGACCGCCACTCTATAGGTGAATTTTTCTTTTCTTTTTAAAATATTTCTTTATTTATTTGAAAGGCATAGTTACAGAGAGGCAGAGGCAGAGAGAGAGGTCTTCCATCCGCTGGTTCACTCCCCAAATGTCCGCAACAGCTAGAGCTGTGCCGATCCGAAGCCAGGAGCCAGGAGCCAGGAGCTTCTTCTGGGTCTCCCACTTGGGTGCGGGGGCCCAAGCACTTGGGCCATTTTCTACTGCTTTCCTAGGCCATAGCAGAGAGCTGGATCGGAAGAGGAGCAGCTGGGACTAGAACCGGCGCCCATATGGGATGGTAGCACTTCAGGCCGGGGCTTTAACCCGCTGTGCCACAGCGCAGGCCCACCCAGAGCCGGCCCCCGTATAACAAGATTCTTTATGGTAATATTATTTCTGATGACAAAAGAAGAGGAAAGAATTCAAGAAATCGCAAAGCAGGAACATTGGGTAGTGCACACCCTGAACCCCCGCTAACCACGGCGTGGAGAGAGTAGCGGTGGGGGCTCCGCGCGCCCGGCCCTGCACCTGCCGACTCACACGTGCTGCCGCCTGGGGAAGAGTCAATGGCAGAGGCACAAAGCAGCAAGGGAGAGCGGTGCCTCCCCCGCGCCGGGGTCCACAGCGAGACGCACAGACAGCAAAGGCCGGGCGCGTCCCAGCGAGGTGACAGCTGCGCTCTGCGGAGGGCGCACCTTTCCTAACTTGTCTGCAACCACTATACGTTTGTAAAAACAAAAGTAGGGGGGACCCAGTACCTTATTCTTTCAAAGAATCGGATGGGACCGGGTAGGGCGCGAGGCCGAGGCAGTCCTCAAGGCCGCTGCCTCCAGCGCCTGGCCCTAGACCCCCCGCCCACGGAGTGGGCGCCGCTCGGGTCGCCATAGATCCGGGACCCCCCGAGACCGAGAGGCTGGGAAGAGACGTCCCGCACCCTTCCGGGGAGAACCTGACCACTAACTGCATCAGGGCCCAAAAGGGCACCCTGCGGGGATCGGCGGCCTGCGGGGGTCTCCAGACCCTCTCCGGCCCCGGGACTCCGCCGCGACTGCGCTTGCCGAGGGCTTCCCGCCCCAGACGCCGCGGGGGGGGGCTGGGCGGGGCCGGGCCGTTGCTAGGGGCGGGGCGGCGGCGCGGTCCCGGAGCTCCGCTAGCGGCCGCGGCTCGTTCCGCGCTCTCCCGCCGCAGCCCTCGGCGCCGCCTGTTGCTAGCTCTGCCGGGCCGCCGCGTCCCGCCCGCTGCCCCGGGGGTAGGCGGCCCGAGAGGGCGCCAGCGCGCGGGCAGCTTCCCGCCCTCTCCTGGCCCCGCGCCCGAGCGGTTCGCACGACGCCGGCAGCCCCGAGACCGCGCACGCCGGCCAGCTTCCCCTCGCGCCCCGGACCGCACGCCGAGCCCCCGGACGCCGAGCCGCGATGAACGCCACCTTCCTGAACCACAGCGGCTTGGAGGAGGTGGGCGGCGCCGGCGCCGGGGCCGCCCTGGGAAACCGCAGCCACGGGCTGGCCACGTGGCTAGGCTGCTGCCCCGGGGGTGCGCCGCTGACCGCCGGCGACGGGGTGCCCGCGGGGCTGGCGTCGGACGAGCGCAGCCTGTGGGTGTCGCGCGTGGCGCAGATCGCCGTGCTGAATGTGCTGTCGCTCACGATGGTTTTCGGACGTCTTCCTTTCTTGGGCTGGCAACATGCTCATCAAGTGCTGAGAGTAAGATCAACTATTGCGACGCAAGAAGCGCCGGCCCTCCAGGGACGTGGGCGCCGCTATCCTGGGGCTGTACTGAGCGCCGCGCGGCGGGAGGAGCCGACGCGCGCCCGGGACCCTCCTCCGCCGCCCACCGGCAGCGCCCGGGCCGAGGACGCCGCGGGACCGGCGGCGGCGGCGCGTGAAGAGACTTGCAGCCGGGCTCGGTCCAGCGCGCGGGACGGGGGCGGGTGGGGGTGGGCATGTTGTGGTTTTTTCTTTATTTTTTTAATCGGTTTTTTAGAAAAACAAGTCCAGGGCTGGGTGCGAGTGGGTGTGGGATGCCACTTGGGGCTGAGGTCGCTCGCGCGGGAGTTCGGTGTGTTTGTCGGTGGGGTGGGGGCGGGTTGCGCGCAGGGGCGGGGGAGCTGACGCGGGGAGTCGCTGGGACTGTTGGCCTCATCGTACCTGGGGACGGAGATCTCAAAATAAAATTGCAGCCGTCGGGAGTTCTTCGGGCCGCTCCCCGCCGCGCCAGTTGGGGCCGTGCCGCGGGGCGCAGTGCGGGGACGTGGGCAGAGGTGCGCAGGGGGCGGGGAGGAGGGCGGCATGAGCCCTCGCTGGGGCCGCTTGGGGCAGGTCGGGGAGGATCTGGCCCCTGCGTGGCCTGCGCTGTCCGGTGCGGGGCTCCCCGCGCTCCACGCCGAGGCCGGAGCGGGAAAGGGGAAAGCAGCTGTTTGCAAGCTGGCTGCCGAAGAGGCAGGTCCTGCGGGGCGGGCCAGGCAGCAGCGAGAGTAATTAAATCATTGGAAATTGGAGTCTGTTCCCTGAGATGAAAAAAAAGTGCGTTGAATCCAGAACGGGGAAAGCAGTAAAATACATCCAGAGAGGGTTCAAAGGCTTCCGCCGGGCGGGGGTGGGCGGACTGCACCTGCTACAAATGGAGTTTTACTTAGGAGCCCCAGGGCCCCGTGGAAGGCTTCTCGGGCTCCCTCCCTTCTAAATCGCAGTAAGAGGACTGGGAACACCCCCCACCACCACCACCTTTCTGCACGGGAAGGGGAGGGGTTTGGGTGCCAGGTCCCAGGATGTTCATGGAGACAGTGGCCCCTGCGCAGCCCAGGCCCACGCCTCCTGCAGGTGCTCCCTTGCCTTAGCGGTGGTCTCCTTGTATATTCCAGTCCCAGGGGGAAGGAGGCTCTGCCGCCTGCAGGTGCTGCCGGGAGACAGCTGGAGGAGGGGGCGCCCCAGGGGAGAAGGCTGGGCCTGTACCCTCTGCTCACCCCCGCAGCCCTAGTGCCAGCCCCTCCAGCCTCCTGTGCTCGGAGCGCTGAGGGGGAGACACTAAGGGACTGACTCTCGCTCTCTTCTTTGGCGGCGGATGGTGGAAGAGAAGGGGAAGGAGAAGGAAGGTGGCTGAAGCCTTCGCTGGCACTCTCGGCTTCCACAGGGAGGAGGTGGGGGTCGCGGAACAGAAGCGGAGCCTGCCCCTCCCTGGTCCTGAGCTCTCCTCTGCGGGTGGGGTCACTATCAGGATGGTCACCGTCAGGATGTGTCCCCCCAGTCTCGGAACTGGGCGGGGCTTCATTCAGCTGGCCAGGCCAGGAAGGCCAAGGGTCAGAGACCAGGAGGTGGCTTGGTGTGATTACAGGTGGCCAGCCTGGCAGGGGGGAGGGCAGCTTTAAGGACTGAGGAGGCCCGACACGGGTGACTGCGGGCTCGGCTGGTCCGGTGGCCCCAGGACACAGCACAGACATCAGCAATCATGGGAAACCCCAAAGGACTGAAAAACAAGGGTTTTGCATAAAAAAGAGGGTTTCACAAAAACACAGGCTTTGATAGTTTGCCGTCTGGCCAGCTTTCGGTGACTGCTACCAAGACTTTCCTTGGCCTGCCACAGCGGAGGGTACTCAAGAGTTAAATCCCTGGATTTGCTGTAAAAACGAAAGCCCTAGTGGGAAAGCTTTGCCGATTTTCCCATTATTAAAAAAAAAAAAAAGTGCGACACGTCTGTGTAGTGACGTGCACGTCTGAGCCCCATGCCCTGGTGTGCACACGTGTGAACTAGTCCATAGTCATGGCACCGTGCGAGTGCACGTGTGCACACGCAGGCAGGTGCAAGGGCAGGCTCGAGCCCCAAGGAGGACGGCAGGTGTGGGCAGGCCCTGGGGAGGGACCAGGGTGGGAGAGCTCACCTATAGCCCGGCCGCCGTGCTCCCTGGAGCCCCGGAGGCCCGCAGTGCTCACCGTGCCTGTTGTACCCCTCGGGCAGGGTGTCAGGGTGGGGTCCCCAAGCCACGTCGGGCACAGGGTCCAGAGGAGTGGTCGGAATCCTGAAGCCCTGTGGGGCTGGGCTCGTGGAGCAGTGGGTTAAGCTGCCGCCTGCGACACCAGCGTCCCATGTGCTCACCTGCTCTGAGTCCCGGCTGCTCCATTTCCGATGCAGCTCCCTGCTAATGCACCTGGGAAAGGCCGCTGCAGACAGCCCCTGCCACCCACGTGGGAGACCTGGATGGAGTTCTGGTGGCCTGGCTTCGGCCTGGCTCAGCCGCAGCAGATGGAGGATCTCTCTCCCTCTCCCTCTCTCTCTCTGACTTTCCCTCTATCTCTGTAACTGTGCTTTTCAAATAAATAAAATGAATCTTAAAACAAGAATCCTGCGGCTTGGGCATGCCAGTGGAAGCTGTAGAGGGCCCTCGGTGTCCCCACCTAAAGCTCTGAGCATGGAAGGCCCGACACCCCCCGCCCTACTGCAGCCCTGAGTGTGGAAGGCCTGACCCCCCCCCCTCTGCAGCCCCGGGTGTGGAAGGCCTACCCCCCCCACTGCAGCCCTGGGTGTGGAAGGCCTGACCCCCACCCCCCACCCCACTGCAGCCCTGGGTGTGGAAGGCCTGACCCCCCCCACTGCAGCCCCCCACCCCACCCCCACTGCAGCCCTGGGCAGCAAGAGCTCCTCCTTCATGGTGGGTGCAGGTTGCAGGAGTAAACCTCAGAGGGTCCTGGATTCAGAGAGAGAAGCCTGGTATTTGGGTCTTTGGCATCCTGGCTGCTCTGCGACTTTAGGAAAGTAGCACAACCTCTCTGGGCCTCAGTCCCTCCACCTACGAAACAGGAGCAACAGGACCCATAGCTGCGTGTCGGGCAGCCGGGGCTGGCATTGGCAGACGCTCCACAAAGGCAGTTAATCTGACTGACCTCGTGTTCATTGTGTGGACTCTCTCCAAATACATGGGCATCTGGTTCCTTGAACTGGGATCCCTGGACACACACACACACACACACACACACCAGAAACTGCTCTGTGTGAAGTATCTTGTGGTTTTCAAAGCACTGTCCCGAGTGCAAGGCACGGCATCAGGAACCTCGGGCCAAGCATTAGGCGCCCACCCTTGCTCCCATTTTATGAATGAAGAAACTGAGGCGCAGAGAGGCTGCCCGAGGTGATGCAGCTAGGAGCGGGCAGAGCCGGGCTCAGTCCCGCGGGTGAGCTCCCAGCCTTCACTCCCCCTGTGCCTGCAACACCTTGGTGGCTTCCTGTTGCCATGGAGGAAACTAAAGTTCAGCGTGATGGACTTGCCCAAGTTCATCCACTCAACCGGTGTCGACTGGGGGTTGACCTTGGGCTGTGTACTTGCCAGGCACCTGGGTGAGGAGGCGGAGCTCAGCCCCAGCCTGCAGCCCTGAAGCGCTGGCGTGAGCAGCTGGTTCCATGACTCTCAGGGTCCAGGTCGAACCCTGGACGGCCTGAGTCAGGCATAGATGGCACTTTGGGGGTCAGATGTGCCCCCGCCAGCAAGGTGACCCCTGGAGCAGGGGCAGCAGGGAGGGCTTACCTCCCCACGCGCACGTGCTTGTCCCAGCCAAGTTCACATGCAGGGGTGCCCAGCCGTGGCTGCTGGGGGCCACTCCCTCCTCCACCAGATGGCCACTCAGTAAGACTGGGAGAGCAGCCTTGAGCCCTGCAGGAAGGAGGTCAGGAGTTCAGAGAGAGGAATGGGGGGGGGGAGCGAGGGGACACGTGTGCACACGTGTGTGCGCACGCACATTTCATGTGAAGGGCGACTTCTGAGCAATCCCTTGAAGGCAGCTTCTGGTTGGCTCCTGCCCATCGGGCTCACGCTGGGCCCCAGCGGCAGTGTCCTGAGGCAGAAGCCCTGCAACCTGAACTTGGGATTCTGTGACCGGGACGCTCTGGGCCGTGGGTGGTCAGCGCTCAGTCCCTGGCAAACGCCCGATTTCCACAATGAACAGCAGCCACCGAGCGGGCGAGCCAGCTCCCGGAGAGCGTCCTCCTGATGTACCAGGACGCGCCCGGCCTGTCCCGATCCTCCTGGTGCTGGGTGCGGGGAGTTTGCTAAGGAGAAGGCAAGACAGATGCTGGTCACGTGACCACACGGACGCTCCAGGTGCCATCCTCGGGGCCTCGCCTGCCTCTTTCTGGGTCGCCAGCACCAGCGTGCAGGGTGTGGGACCGGCGGGAGCAGGCGGGGTGCTGTATGCCCGGGGTTTCTCCAGGGCCTCACTTCGCTGGGGAGCACATGGGCACACAGCCCAGGATGCAGAATCTGGACCTCGGCGATGATACAAGCCAGGTGGACAGAGGCCGACATCTGTCACTGAGGGTTATGCACAGGCTGCTGGCTCCCGTCTGCCCTGGGCCAGCTGCGGTAGGCTGGTGGGCGGAGGCGGCGGCCTGGGCTCCGGAGGCCCCGGTGCACCACTAGCGCTCTGGCTGGCGTCCTTTCCTGCACCGCCATCCCTCTGGTACGACATCTTCCCTTTGCAGCCCGGCCGGAAGCAATAAGAGGAGGAGGAAGGGGGGGGGAGGGGCAGGTGAAGGGGGAGAGAGAAGATGGGGTGGAGGGAGGAGGTGAGAGAGGAGGAAGAAAAGGGAGGCAGAAGCCGAGCAGGAGGCCCAGTGGGAAGCTGTGTTCTCCCCTCCGGCTCTGACCCCGGGGATCTGTCAAAACACAGCCCCAGCGCTGGTCTTGGGGGTCTCAGGGTCTGATCTCTGCAGGGAGAGAAAGGGGCCAAGTGCAACACTACGGGTGGTTACGGCTGGGCTGTGGACAAAAAGGGCGTTGCCTGTCTTGGGTCCCTCCCCTCACTCGTGGGAACTGTGCCCTCCACCCGCGCCAGGCCTCTAAGGAAGGTCCTCAAAGCCAGGTGCGGGGCCCCGCCCTACTCTCTACTTCCTAAAGCTCCGCCCTCAGCCAGGGGTGGGAGGTGAGGTGCCCCCAGCACTGTGGCCCAGCCCACAGGAGAGCGCTGGCAGTAGAGGGCCCGGCAGGTGCGCACAGAGCAGCAGGGCCGGGCTCACACGTCGTTGCTGTCGGAGGCAGTCGTGCCTGCTCTCAGAGCCTCAGCTCCCTCATCTGTAGAACGGGGCACCTTGACCTCTCCACTTGAAGTTTCGGTGAGACAATGCCGGAGAGTGTGATAACTCGATGCGTTAAGTGAACAACCGTCGGGATGTCTGTCTGAAGGTCAAGGTCAGCAGGGGGTATAGTTAGACCCGGCCAGCGGGAGTCACAGAGGCACTAGCGCAGTGGACGAGAGCCACACCGAGCCAGGGCCTCGCGTGTGAACTTGGAAGAGACTACAGAAGCATGGAGTGTGCCCTCGTTCTGTTTCTTTCTTGTAAAATGATGACACAAGGGGCAGGTGCTTGGCCTAGCAGTTAAGGCAGTGGCTAGGACACCTGCATCCCACATCAGAGTGCCTGGGTTCAAGTCCCGGCCTCAGCTCCCAGTTCCAGCTTCCTGCTGACGTGCTCCCCGGGAGGCAGCGGAGAGGGCTCAAGCGGCTGAGTCCCTGTCAACCATACGGGAAACCCAGATCGAGTTCTGGGCTCCCGGCTCTGGCCTGGCCCAGCGCTGGCTGCTGCAGGCATTAGCAGAGCGAACCAGTAGATGGGTGGTCTCTGTCTGTCTGTCACTCTTTCTCTCTGTATCTCTGTTTCTTTTTCTCTCTCTGCTTCTCAAATAAATACATTAATTAATTAAAAAAAAAACAAGAAATGATGGAGGGGATGGGGAAGGGGCATGGGGGGGGGGCGCAATTTACTCGATTCTGCCATGAGCCGAACACTGACAAACATGATCTCCGTCCTGAAGTCTACATGTTGACGATGGCCCCCCCATTTCACAGATAGGAAAGTGGAGGCTGCAAGGGATGAATTAAAGCCAGGCAATGGCAGACATAAGATCTGATCACCTTGTGTCTGTCCCCAGAGCCTGTCTTTATGTGTGTGTCTGTAGATAGATAAATTTACTTATTCGAAAAGTGGAGTTAGATAGAGGAAGAGGGAGAGGGAGAGAAAAAGAGAGAGAGAATCTTCCATCTGCTGGTTCACTCCCCAAAAGGCCACAACAGCCAGGGCTGGGCCAGGCCAAAGCCAGGAGCCAGGAGCTTCATCCAGGTCTCCCTTGAGGATGGCACTTGGGCCATCATCAGCTGCCTTCCCAGGTGCATTAGCAGGGAGCTGGATCCCAAGTGAAGCAGCCGGGACTTGAATTGGCGCTCACACGGTAGCTGGTGTTGCTTACCCATTTGTGCCACAACACTGCCCCCCCGAGTCTGTCTTTTGCCCCCAGCTCTGCCCATCACCAGGGCAGCTGGAGCAAGGGTGAGCCTGAGGGCTGCAGAGTGAGCTGGAGTGGGTGTGGAGTGGGGAGAGGTAAGGAGCGTCTGTCACTGCGGGAGAGGAGGCGGGGCTCATGTCTGCCTGTGAACCCAGCTCCTCCTGACGGCTCTGGAAAGCTCCCAGCTGGGGCCGCCTCACTGGTTCCCAAGCATTCGCCACCAAGCCCCTTGGGTCGTTTTGTGTCCATGCACCTTTTCTTTTCTAAGGCGTGGGCTGCCAAACACGCTCACCTTGCTCCAGACTGATGGAGTCACTTGCTGTCCACACTGCTGATCTGCGCTCTGGCCATCAGGACACAGCCTGCTCACAGCCAGAGCAGCGAAAGCCGCTGGGTCCCTGGATTCAGGGTGTCTGTGCTCAGGAAAGCAGGGTGGGGGGAGGCCCGTGCAGCTATTGCGCTGTGACAGACAGGAGGGGGCGGGGCCCACATCTGAGCGATGCCTGCTCTTTCTGGCCATTCTGGTCACCTGGCCCGTCACCTTTCCCCCTGCAGACCCCAGCCAGCTGCCTGCCCTGCCCTGAGCACACCCAGTGGAGACACAGCTTGGCACCAGCACCAGGGAGGAAGTGGCCCTTTGAGGGGACAAGGGGCTTTGGACAGAAAGGTGGCTCTGGGCACCAGGGCAGGTGGTGGGCTAGGAAGATCTGGAGCAGGCAAGGGAACCGAGAGGCGGAGGGCCAGAGGGAGGCGGGGTCGCCCGGCCTCGGCCTCACCCCGCTGCCTCCAGCAGCGAGGCACGCTAGCCGGTCCTGGTCGCTGTGGTGGGGGCCAGTGTCGGCAGGGACACCCCGGACAAGGCCTCCCGTCACCACAGTGACCCTGCTGTGGCAATGACTGGGAGGTGCCGCCCTGCGAGTGCCAGGCCGGGGACGCGGGGCCTGCAGGGGCAGAAAGGCTGCGGCACAGCGAGGCCTCTGTGCCCAGTGCCTGCTGGACAGTGCTGGGGACAGGAGAGATGGCCCCGTGACGTCTGTCGTTCGGGGTTCTGGCTTGTCGCCTGTGCCCCGT